GAGAAAGATCTGTTAAATATAGTTGTGAACGGATGACACAGAACGTCAGCACATTTTTTAAAAAGGATGTTTGGGATACCATCAGGACCCAAACATCGAGATGAATTAAGCGACTGGAGACATCCTCGTACATCAGTTTCAGTGAAAGTATGAACACAGCTATTTTTTAAACCCGTGGATAGAGGGAGCATTACATCAGATGACTGACGTACAAAAGACTTATTTAAGTCACAAACATTCAGCTGGTTATCGCTTCTAAACTTTCTGTCACCTGTAAGTTCTTTAAAGAATTTCCACATACTTGTAGAGTTTTTGCAAGATAAGAGTTTTTGAGTAAACATGCAGTTGAGACGTCTAATCTCTCGGTTTATCAGACCATTTAGCTTACGAACTTCATTTGAGTTCTTCTCCTTGTACATTCTTTCTTTCAACCTCCGTAGTCGTTTTAGTTGTGAAGATGTAAGTCGATCAAAACTTACAAAAATGGTTTCAGTGGGACAACAAATATCAAAACAGAATTTAAGGTAACAAGTGATAACATCAGTAGTGTTTTCGAGTGAGTCATCTGTAAATAATTCCCAGTTAGTCGTATGGAACATGTTTTTTAGATTTCGGATATTTTCTTCTGAGTAATTCCTATATTTGACTTTCTTGGTTTTATGTAAGAGTGTACTCTTCCCATGCTTTCCATATACTTTAGGTAGAACACGAATTAAACAGTGATCTGAGCTAGACAATGGAGCACGTTTACGAGTTGCATATATGCCCACATCATTAATGAAAACGAAGTCTAAATGAGCATCCAAACGAGTAGGAAAATCTACTACGTTTTGGTGACCTAGTGACGTAAGGAAGCTACAGTCACATGAATTGAAATCACCACATACAACTGAAAGTGAATCACTGAAGGCAGTAACAGCGAACTCAGTGAATTCATCGGCAAAAACAGATAGTGCAGATGATGTGCAATCTGGAGTAACGTAGATATTGGTAACATAAACATATTTGTATTTATTCAGATGTTTTGGACGACATCTTAGAGTTAGACAGTCGATAAAGTCATTTGAAAACTTAAAACACACAAACGAAGATCGACACCAGTTTATGTTTACAAGCGTAGCTACACCGCCACCACACCTTTTTTTATTGTTCGATCGATCCTGACGATAAATTTTGAAATCATGTAGTGATACAAGGCAGTCATCCTGTAAATCATTCAACCAAGATTCTTGAATTGTGATGACACCACAATTACGATACGTATTTTGACTAAGCAGGAATTGCAGATAGTCCACTTTGTTGATTAGTGATCGGCAGTTAGAATTTAGTAGCTCGGGAATCGACATACGATTGATGTTCATTCTCTTTAACGCATATTGCCAACCACCACGATGCCTTTTATAGTACTTTTTCGTAACTTGTGCAGCGAAAGGTTGTAGGCTTTTCATAAAAGCGCCTGAATAGGTTATGCGGTTAATGGACATAATTATAAATTAAAACAAATGAAAAACAGATAACTTGTTGAAATAATCAGATGGCAGAAACAGGTAGCCCAGATATTCAAGCAGGCCGCCTAGATAAGGGTGAACATAAACCAACTAAACGAGTTCACATAATCGATGTCAGTGTATCCGATAGATTGGTGACCAACAAAGAATCAGAATGTGTTCTCCACGGTAACTTTGATTCTACAAACGGCTAGCAATCCCAAAAAGCGACATATTCGGAAACCATATAACACTTTGGAGTTACGCGGTCAGTACATTTACAAATACTGCCAAAGACCAAGACAAAGAATGATATATTTCCATGCATCAGCAAATAATCGATATTACGAATTATTCGTAACGAACTACAGTTTTTTACAGCTAATGGGCATATATGTAGTTAAACCAACCATCATGTACATCACGAAAACGGGAAGAACAACCTTTTACTTATGTCCACAGCAAAACAATCAAATCGCTGCTTAAACGCTCACCACGTCAACCCCGTCTAATGTCTCTGTAGACTATCCCTGTTACATGTGACCTGCCAATTCAAGGACAGTATTCCCTATCATATTAGTGAGACCAAAACTCATGCTTGTATTATTCACGTCAATAAGACACAAAGCATCAAAATAAAACTTAAATACATCTTGTTTGAAACCCCATTCTACACCTAGGGTCCGATGAGTGACATTTCTATCAAAGACACTTCGTTACATACATCACGCAAGATGGTCCTTACTTTTTCCGAGTTTGTAATCCATTTCTTTAATTAATAACCTCCTATACGCAATAATTCACTTACTTGCTTAATGAACTTATTCGCCTGGTCACAAGTAGGGAAGGATACCAAGCAATCATCAACATAGAAATTGTTCTTGACAGCATCTACGACATAACGATCATAACCATCAGAGAATGTTTGGGCTGTCTTATTCATGGCAAAGTTTGCACAAAACGGCGATGATGTGGCACCAAATGGTTGAGAGGTAATTTGAAATTCGGATAGTTCCATCGACGTGTCTCCCTCCAGCCACCACAGAAATCTTAAAGCTCCTCAATCAAACTCAGGAACCTTCACTTGCATGAACAGTTCCTCAACATCTGCAGAGATTGCAACTACCTCCTTGCGAACAACCTTTTACTTATGTCCACAGCAAAACAATCAAATCGCTGCTTAAACGCCCACCACGTCAACCCCGTCTAATGTCTCTGAAGACTATCCCTGTTACATGTGACCTGCCAATTCAAGGACAGTATTCCTTATCATATTAGTGAGACCAAAACTCATGCTTGTTTTATTCACCTCAATAAGACACAAAATATTGGTCAGCATGTTTATGCGTTTTACTTAATAACTACAAATCCCTTAATTATTTGTACTAATCGAGTTGTTCGTTTTTACGTTTAGAAACAGATAAAGGTTGGAGCCAAGTTGTCCTTGTTCTGATGACTGCTTTCATATAGACTCTGAGTCGTCAGTATCAAGTTTACGTTTGCAGTGGAATGTCTGTAGGACAAGTTAAACACTACGAAGTTATTTTGTTAAGACTGAAAATTGTTGGGTTTTTACAACCACCAATCGCCTAAGAATTCAAGAATTATCGTAGGTCATTTCTGAAAGAAAACTGCACATTACAATACAGAGGATGCTTAGGATCTCTCCAGATATATCGGTTCCACAGAGCCTTTAAATGTCTCGATGATGTGGGTTTTGGATATCAACGTATTGCGAAGACTGTTTACGGAGCGCTTAACTTTTTCCACTTATTGTGGAACATTCCGTTTGAGGTTTTTGGTGGTTAGACAATAATATACTAACAGAAGTTTCAAAACTCAAATGAGGAGAGGTTGAAGTTCTTCCTCATCCTTATTATAGACTGGGAGACAATCTCGTACTAGCGTTCCGTATCTTAGATAACGTGTAGAACGGAAACATGTTCTACTGGTTTGTTCCTTCTAGAAGTGCTGATCTTCGACGATCATAAAATGGTCAAAAAGTACTATCGTATGGACTTTGGTCGAGATTTCGCTATCCAGTCGAGTGGTGAATGACTGGAATGACTTTGATGAATTCTTGAAGTCACCCCTTTTGGTTAATGCTTCCAAGGAGAAACTGGATGTTCTTGAGAAACTTTGCTACCAGATCAACATAATTTAACAGGACGTCTTTGCGCGCTATTTAAAAAAAAGACAGCGGTATTATTACTCGTTGGGTTAAATTTACTATTTTGTACGTAAATTACGCATCAAAATCACTGTTTCCATTTTAATTGAATTTATTTAAGCTGAAGTGATATTGTACTTGAGTGCATTGACTTTGCTTATATATATATTTTTGCATCAAAGAATACTTGGTCGACTTTGACTTGATTTATACGCTTAAGGCTTGAAATGTTTTTACATATTCACTTTGGGTTACCATTTTTGGTTAACTTTTAGGATGGTCTGTTCTGCTTACAAATCTCGACAGCCATATTGCTTATTCCTTGTGGAAGAGGGAATGCATTGTGATAAGTGAGAAGAGGTTCCTCATGGTGTGTACATAGTCACACGGAGATACCAACTCCAAGACCTGTACATGTTGTTGAGGAAACTTTTCTATTGTTGATCACGAACCTCAAACCAGGCCTTGATGGCTACATTCACGAATGCTGTCCTCTCTTCAGGACCACTCGCGACGCTCTTCGACATTTTACTTTCACCCGCCCAACACCCTAGAGATTGGAAAGATGCTATAGTCAGCCCCATATTTAAAGATATTTCGAGACAGACCGTATCTAACTACCTACCTGTCAGTTTAAGCAGCATAGTCGTTAAGTTACTTGAAAAGATAGTTCGGGTCAAGTTATTAAGTTGCATAGGTTAGTACAATCTGTTAACTCTTGGTTTCGAAACGAGAATTCATGCTCGACCAACTTATTGCGAGAGAGGATTGGACAGCATCCCCGGAAAACGGACTGTCTGTCGATGTGATATCTATAGACTATAGCAAAACGTTTAACAATGTTTCACGCTTAGGGCTTATGCAGAAGCTATCGAGCTTCGGCATAACAGGTGTTGTACAGGAGTGGATAGAAAACGTCTCGTGTGACCGCAGAGAGAGAAAGAGAGTGTGGGCTAATGGAACACTATCTGAATGGAAGTTGTTCGAAAATGATGTACTCCAAGGCACCACCTTAGGTCCCTTACATTTCCTCTACGTCAATGAATTACCTCTATTGCTTTGGTCGTCGACATTAATGTTTGTGGATGACGTCAAAATCTAAAGAACAGAATGACTTGGAAGTAATAATGAGTCACGGCTTGAAAACAACTGCGCATTGCAGCACAGCCGCTGCTTGGTGGTTAGTGACTGGGACGCCTTGCACGAACATTTGATGTCAACCCCATCAGTGAACATTTTCAGGTGGAAGTTGGACCCTCACTAGAAGAAACATTGTCAGGATTAACACGGGTACATCAAACTACTATTCTTATTACTAAAGACTATTCTTATAACTGAGTGCAAAATATTGCGCGCAATTCTGCTGTTGCGTTACAGCTATTCTGATGGTGTTTCTAATAGAATGTATCCTTCTCATTACTCTATGGAGTGGGGTCAGCTGCCTAGAGATACCTCCACATGGAACATCAAAACTTCCAGTCATAAAAGATGATCAAATCAAATCGACCAAGGAAGTTAATTCAGCATGGAATTTGTTTTTATCTGGATTTTCGTCTTCATTTTACGTTATTATAATATCTGAAATTGGTGATAAGACATTTTTCATCGCTGCTATTATGTCTATGCAACATCCACGAGCTTTAGTTTATTGTGGAGCGATGCTCGCTCTTATCACCATGACAATGTTGTCGGGTAGCGATATCTATTCCTAACTGTTTTCTTACAGCGTTACTTGGTTACGCAACAACAATCATCCCGCGATTTGTAACCTTGTATTTATCCGGTGCTTTATTTTTTATATTCGGCCTGAAAATGCTCTACGAAGGTAACGTTCGACAAGCTTCATAAGTGCTTAGCATATACTATGTCTTCCAGTACAGCCAAAGAAGAGTTCGATGAAGTTCATATGCAACTCACACAGTCTAGAGCAGATGATATAGAAACTGGTCGTTCAACTCCAGACTCTCCCCAGGGATTTCCCTCCAAATTACTTACGATCACAAGAAACATATTTACTCCAATCTTTGTGGAAGCTTTTGTGCTCACATTTTTTGCAGAATGGGGTGATAGGTCTCAGATAACTACAATTGTTCTTGCAGCTACAAAGGTAAGTGACCACCTCGACACCACAAGTTAGTTTTGTTAACATAACGTTCCATAATAAATTTGCATAAATTAAGTAACCAGCTATCTTTAGTAACATATTTCTTAAAATTCTTCAAAAGTACATGAAAATTCCGGATCTTTCTCGTCCCTAATGAGGAAAGCAAATGCAGAATATTCTCACTCCTGACTGTGAGTTGTGGGTTTATTGAAAATGACATAACGTACATTGTCACGCGTACTGTTAGTGAGGGTAGTTGTCATTTACTCGTTGCCCAAACCTTATTGCCGTTACGCCTCTGTACATTTCGAAGTATGACCATGCCCTCGGGTCTTATGTTGCTGTTTTTAGGCCTACTGTTTTTCAATTGATTTACCTGGCATAGTAGAAACTAAAGGAAAAATTGTTCCAGCCAATGTAGCTCTGTTGGATCATTAAGATATAGAGCTTGACCATCACCTCAAGATAGAAGTTATAGTCGTGATGTCTACAATGTATTAATTAAGTTTACCCTCTAACTGGTTGTCATACTTATGTAACCCGTCAGTTCTTGCCGTTTTATCCCCGCTTTGAACAGCATGATTTTACTCTACCCATAGGTAGAACACTTAGCTTAATCTAAATAATGTATATTTCGAATAAATCCCCTTTTCCCACACATTTCCAAAACTGTTGGTTTTGCTGTATCTGTTACATCTGTTTATTTTAAAATAATTGATTGGTCTTTGCTCTGGTGTCAAGTCTGAAATGTCTTTCCGTAATCTCTGCCTACACACTGACAGATTGTAGCTCGGATGAAACCGAAGATGAGTTCCACCACCAGTAATGTGATCTCATGAAATCGCATTCGGTAATGCGAGCCGGAGACTTGAATGTGTAGTTCGTATCTAGGCACATTATTTATTTGTTTGTTGGAACACAAATATTGGTACAAGGGGGCACCAGATATATATGAGCAACACAAAACAATGAGTATGGGAAGAGAAAAATAATGTAAGGTGCGTGTAAGAAAAAAAGAACAATAACGACTACAGATTAGTGTATGGTAGTGTAATATTAATAATAATAATAGTGGGGGAAACGCAAAGGTACAACCAGAAGGATTCTTTCAGTTAAGAAAGTTACAACCACTTTTTATGAAGAAAGTAAAGGAAGGTCACAGCAGGATAGCCTCTCTTCTATTCTGATCCATATCTGATAACGTCCCTACCCATTGTGCTGCACTATCTCTCGAACCCCAGCCAGGGAGTCCAGAAGGACTAACAGAAGCCAACCTTTTGCAGCTTTCTTTCATACCACGACACAATGTCATACACTGACCACCTCTCCGCCTTTTCCAAGCAGTTCTAGAGTCGGCAAATAATGCACGACGTGGAATTCTCTGGGACGACATTCGGAGAACATGTCCAAGCCACCGAAGTCGATGTTTCAAGATAATGACAGCAATAGACTTATCGTCTCTGTGCCCGAACACACGATGCTGAACCTCTGCACTACTAACATGGTGTTGCCACTGGATGTCATCAATCCTTCGGAGACAACGATGATAACACATATAGTTGTTTAACATTCTCAACTCGGAGAGGCCAGGTTTCACAAACACAGAGCAAAACTACTCTCACCGACGCGTTGTAAATCCGACCTTGTACAGCCTGGCTTCTGTTGGTCCTTCTCGACTCCCTGGCTGGGGTCCGAGAGATGGTGCGACACAGTGGCTAGAGACGTTATCAGAATAGAAGCCAGTGGCGATCCTGCTGTAACCTTCTTTTACTTTCTTCATGAAAAGTGGTTGTGTCCTCCTTAACTGAAAGATTTCTTCTGATTGTACCTTTTCTTTCCCCCATTTTTACCATTATTATTATTACACCACCTTACATCAATCTCTTCGTTATTATTCTCTCTTTGTTTCTTTTCTTTCCCCTCAAATTCTCATTGTTTTGTGTGGCGCATTCTTGTACCAATATTTGTGTTCAAATAAATAAATAAATAATGCGTATAGTTTTATCGTATAATTGTTAATTAACTAAACTATTCATATTGATCTCTCCCTCTTATCATAAGCTTCATTTTAACCTATTGTTATAACTCTCGCTTCTTACTTACGGTTAATGACCCAGCTATTCCTATTGCTTAGTATTCTCGGACACCGATTCACTCGACAAGTTCCCAAATCAGAACACGGTTGAACAGGAAAGAGATTATATTCCAAATAGCAAGTCAGAAGCCAGTAGGAAGCACAATGGGGGAAAACGTCGGTATATTTATAGTTTTTACATAAGAAGATTCCAGAATATTCTCCGACTATCGACAAGTGCTGATTGGATAAGAATTAGCCAATCAGCGTGCACCAAAACAATCATGCATTGAGCATGCTTTAATCTAGTCCATGTCCCGCCAACACCTATGAACTGTTATTATACGATTTTTCATTCTTGAATTATTCCCTGCCTATTAATCACTACCTCCCACGTTCACAGCCACATTTGGCCAAATCTTATATAAATGTTGTTTCCTATTTTATGGTGCGATGTGGTCTGTTTGATTGGTATATAAACTCAGTATGTTTGAAATATAATGATTCATATAGCAGAGGCTCGGATCGGTGTTCTGGAATTAACTGGCTGGGCTAGACAGGAAGCGGGATCAGTAAGGACTCTAGAATGCTCATACGGGTTTACGTGTCATTGATACGATCGGTAATTCACTGCTCCCTAATTGGCGGTGACAAGATATAACAAGTTCCTTAATCGGGAAGTCACCACCATCTTTAAAAAGAGCCGGAGGTAAGTCATCTGGGCCCGGTGATTTGTAGCGCTTCAAGAGTTTGAGTCCCTTGCGGATTTCCGCCCCCCATCGTCCAGGACGTCGACGGATGTCAGTGACTGGCACCCGTCATCCTCACAGATTGCTTCGCTCACATCAGACTTCTTGTTGCCAGTGGCTCGGATGAGTTGAAAGAGCTTCGGGTAGTTACCAGATGCAGCTGCTGCTTCCAGCTCATTAGCACGCTCCGACCACCAGGCTTCTCGGTCCTTACGCAAGCTTTGCCCGACTTCATTACGTAACAGTCGTCGTTTGTGGTCAAACTCACGGTCACCCGGAGTAGACCGACGGATTTCAATGAGTTGTAGTAGCCTAAAATAACCTAGTGCTCATAAGCGGGACGTTTCGCGAAGCCGCAAGCGTCTTTACTCGCCACCTTGATGGCGTCATGAAGTTGCAACCAATGCTCATCTATAATTTTCGGTGGAGTAGTAGCTAGCCAAGAAGCTAGCTCGGTTCGATACTTACTTGCAATAGAAGTTGCAGCCAACTTGCTGACATCAATCCTTTGGTGGCGGTCACTTCGTTGGCCACTGAAAAGTAAGGTAAGATTGCCGCAGACCAGGGCATGACCGGAATCCATAGATAGGTACTCCAAAAGAAGCGGCAGTCTTGTACACAACCACGCCAGCGGTAGCTGATCGCGATGTGATCAATCTGAGTCCAGGCTTGGGATGCTGAGGGAGGACGCCAGGTGGCGCATCGGCGATGACTGTGCCGAAAGTTAGTGCTAGCCAAACACAGATTGTGGTCTGTGCACAGTTGCAGTAGACGGTCCCCGTTATCTGACCTGCGACCAACGAGTCCCCATCGGCCACCTAAACGACTCTCTTCTGTGTCTAGACGCTCGACCCGAGCATTCAAGTTTTCGGCTAGTACTATAATATCTGTCGAACACACTTTCTGGAGAAGAACAGTTAACTGGTGGTAAAATTCGTCCTTGATCGCATCCGGACTGCAATCTGTCGGGGCATAAGCGAAGAGTCATCTATTAGCACATAATCGACTGTTAATGGTGATCCAATCGATTAGTGCTTCCTCAGCTCTAGCGCTTAGTGCGACACCAACGCCAGCAAGACCAAACGAAGATGCCACAAGGTCCCCGGATAGACGCACGTAAAGCAAACTTTTTGAAGCTACAGATGGAAAGCGGATTTGTAGTACTTCACCAGAGTCTTGAATGCGGGTCTCGGATAGACAACAAACGTCGATGTTAAGACTTTCTAAAGATATAGCCACCTCTGTCTGTTGTCCGATCTGCATTAGTGTGCATACGTTGAAGGAAGCCAGTTTGGATGGCGCATGTGGTTTCAGAAAAGCTGTTTCAGTATTCGTATTTGCTGGTAACATTCAATTTTCAACCAGCCAGTGACTCGTGAACGTTTAGATAGAACCGAGTTTCCACCATAGGCAAGCTGCTGTTTAAGTCGAAAAATAAGGATAAACAAAGTGGGAATAAAAGAGAGTGAATAAGTGACGTAGTAAAAAATAACAATAATAATAATGTGAATTGTTTGACTGTTAATCGAAGCGAAAGTAGTATTTTCAGTAGATATCATCATTTCATTCTATTTGACGATATCTACTGAAAATACTAGGCCCATAAGAAAGTTGTGTAGGCACCCAACAGGGACTTGACGGTCTCACATCAGATAACGGTGAGCTTTGCATAGACTACATCCTGTTTTTGGCTAGCACCAATTTTCGACACAGTCATCGTCAATTTGCTACCTGATATCCTTCCTCCTTAATCGAAGCTTGGACTTAGATTTATCACACTGATATCAGACCTCACTCATGTGGATGTTTACAAGACTCCCGCTCATTTATAAGTACCTAACCGGACTCTGATTATGGCCTGGTTTTCAGCAAGCCTATCTAGCGTTTCGACGGATTGACATAAGAAATTTGGTTGTAGCTACCGTTGCAATCAATTATCAAGCCCAGTTATCAACCTACTAAAAGGTGTAGACGAATACTGTATGCATTTTTGTAAGTCTGTGAAGGTAAATGGCAGGTAAAGTCACTTACGGCTTCTCAAAACGTCCTGCTTATAAACAGTTGTTTTCTGCAGACTCTTCCGTACTCCTTTTGACACCTCGATCTACGGATAACCTCAACTTTGATGATGCTACATACAGATAACTGCAGGAAATGTTGAGTAAGGGCTAATAAACTTGTTCGGAGCTTGCTTACGAGTTGGGAACAACAGCCGAATCTTATAACTCCCAAGACACATTCTGAATCATCCGAATCATTGCATAAAAAGGCGTGGTGTCAGTAAATTTTTGTGTAAAGTTAGTGGTATACCGATTGGTAACGTCCGAAGGTATCTTGGACAATAGACCGAGTTTTCTAAGAAAACGTCCAGCTGGCTTTTTGCCGCTAACAAATTCGACCAAACTGTCTTCTCTGTCGTGGACGATGACAACCAGTTCACCTAGCAAAGCGAAGGTCCAGAAGGAACTCCAACTTATTAATCGCTACCATTCGCCAGTCCCAGTCTATCTATCCCTGGCTCTTTTTAAAATAGGTGTCAAACGTCTGGTCAGAGAAATGATACGGATGTTTAGAAAAATTTGTTGGACCGAGAATGTAGTATAGCTGCTCATGTATATTTCAGTTTGTTCATATTAAGTTTGGTTAAGCCCTTTTGTTAACTTATTTAACAGACAGTCATTCATACAACAACAACTCATGTATACCATTGTGTCTTTATTATTGTTTCGCTTGTGTGAATATGTATGCTTAAGCACTGTTTACCGCTTACGCACATATTCATTCTGATAGCTTTAGTGTTAGTCGCTTAAGTGATTCGATGACGCATTCATTTTCCTATGTATATATATTTACATTTTAATCTTATTCATTAACTCACTCGCTCGCTTGCTCTTCGTCACTCTCATATCGTTCTTGCTTCGTGTGACTGGGGTTTTGGTGGTCTGTGCGTAGTGCAATGACAAGCGTAATCAACGCTTCGCATTAGTCTTCTGATTTATGCACCGCTGGGCGTTATCTAGTAACGGTTATCAGGACGAGCAGTATACGAAGTTAAATAATCATACCGAATACCGACCACCACAGTAGCTTCAGACTTTATCAGATGTGGCTTAGGATAGAAACTAATGGCGATCCGGGTGTTTTTACATAACAATGAAAGGAACTCCCTTAACTAAAATAAGTCTCTCTCGGTTTTTCTTAACTAAATTGTACCCCTCTATTTCTTCACCATGTTATCTCTATATTTGTGTGATGCATACTTTTCTTGATTCCTTGTTGTACCACAATGTATTTGCATTAAATAAGAAGCAGATAGTAACAAAAATTATTTTCATACCTTTAATTCATACATTTTCTGAAAAGCTTTCTAATCAGGCTTTGAAAAACTTAATAATTCAGGATTTTACTACAGTAGGCTCTTTACGATTTTAGTAGTAGTGCTTTCACTGGCACATTGTTCTCAGCATTTTCTTTTCTGATTTTCGTTTTCATCTGTAGAGTGCTTTGGGTGTAATCGTAGGTGGAGTTGTTGGTCATGCTTTATGCACAGGTTTAGCTGTCCTTATGGGTCGTTTTGTTGCTCAACGCATTCCTGTACAGTGGAGTAAGTAAATACTTGATTCTCAGAAATTCAGTATCAAATACATATCTCGATTATCTTTTCATAATTTCCACGGTCTATTATCTATTACTTACTTAGTGAAAATTCAAAAGTAATCAGTTTGACTCATTGAATCCATCAAATCTCTAAATCTCCTTAGAAAGAACGCTTTTAAAACATTACAGCAGAGTGTAGACTTATAATTAATAGAAATCCCATATCATGATTGATCAATGTCCTTTTCAGTGATTAAAGCATGTAACCCAGAATCAAAGGACTGTCTACACATATATCAAAAGCAATGAGCTATTACTGAAGCTAGGCTGAATAAATATACCACAGCGATGGAACGAGACTCAGACCACCACAACCTTTTTAATATGTTATTAAGCAGCACATTTAAAATGTAAGTAATCATATCCGATGTTAATTATATAAATTATAAGAGTCAGCTATTGAAGTGATCAAAAATATTAACTCTAAACCTTCCGCCTTGCTGATATTAAGTATATGCCCGTAAATTAGGGCAAAAGAATATCTGATCACTTAAGGCTATGAGCATGATAAATTTAGAAATAAACTATAACTTTCAACTTTTTAAGCACAAGTTTGAATTCTTCGTTGTATTTATATTTTACCTCATATTCATTGTTTTAGACCGTTTTTTTGTCGATTGTGATTTTTTAATGCCTCACTCTAATAGGATTGACGGTTTAGTACGCATTCTTAATTCTTTTAACTCCGTGTTATCCTAATTTATGCTTAGTGACGGTTGATCAGACGTGAAACCGTTCAACTTTCAGCCACTAATTTGGAGGTTTAAACTTTGAGCAGCTAGAAAGTACCACTAGCTCTCACATTTATGTTGTGCCTCGGGGCCAAATGTATGGATCTGCATTTATAATTACCATTAATGTCTTAGGTAATGATATATTAGTGTAGAGCTCATTTTTCTAAAATTTTAGTGCACTGAAGATATTACAAAAGGTTGTAGAACAAACGTTTCTACTATCTCACGATTATACAAGATTTTTTTGAATTGATGGCACTTTCCATGGAGTATGCGAAATCGATTCACAGGTCTTTCTATTGGGATGAAGTTCATAACATAAAGTCTCTGAAATTTGTAGTGTTTGTATCGAGATTGAAGATGATAGCAATATATGAATATTTGGAGAGATAGTAGAAGGATGAGTGGTCGTCCATCTCAATTAAGATTTTATTTTTTAAAGTGACTAAATCTGGTTGATACTTTGCATAAAAGCGAATCACTTTGAGTTTTCATGGTCTGAACCATGAAAAACGAAAGGGTAAATGAGGAAATGGTACAGACAACTATACACATAACTAGCATATTTGTGTATCATTTCAAGTTGTGACACTTCACATCAACATAATACATGAAAATAAACGGTTAGAATGTAAAAGGAGTGAAAACAATTATACCGACACACTCAATTATTTCAGTTGCATTAAACTGAACATATATTCACACGGTCCCTGAAGGAGCGTTTATTAGTAAGAAGGTAAGTAATGAATTCTAAACATCTTATCACTCTCATTCAATGTATAGTGAGGACACTATGTATTAAACATATACATATCTTAGAGGAATTTGTCTTCACTTACTTGAGGTATGGTCAAGTAATCTTCGACTGTAAGACTGTTCCATGAGAAGTTGTAGAAAGAAAGTCTTACCCTTAAAAACTTATTCAGAACAAAAACGAATTAAAACGAGGAAAGTTAAAGTTTCTGACAAATAGTAATCCCTGATAACTTACCATAAATTCTAATACGGGTGTTGTAAAAATTTTACAATATTATCACAAACTTATTCAATACTCATTTTCATAAACCATTTATAGATGACATCCATTTAGTAAACATAACTGATGTGACCACTTGTTTACTGTGATTCTTGTTAGTCCTGTAATTTAAAAATGTTGTCATAAAAAATGTTTTTTTTTGTAACCTGACGACGGAGCTGTCTTGCCGTTTTGATATTTCTCTCATTTTCTTTCACTGTTTGGGAATTGTTACGATGTATGAGAATCCATGTTTTATTTTCTCTCTACTTCATATATATTGTTAATTATGTAACTTTTCTTTTATAACTTTTCTTTTTTAATATCTAGTTACATTTATCGGAGGTGTGACATTTATAATATTTGCGTTCAGTGTATTTTTTGGGAATCCAGACACAATGTCTTAACTTTGACGTTTGTAATCATCAGTTTTTTTTTAAATATATATATATATAATAACTTATTTTCAGTTTGTATTGGTTAATAATATTTTTGAAGCACTTTGAAATTGATACTACTCACGGTATATTTGTGTTATTTGTACAACTATCCAATTATTCCTAAAATTTCTTTCATTTCAGATAAATTTATTCTTTTTCCATGTTTCTCATATTCTGTTTATAAATAAAAGGTCTCTTTATCTAACTGAATATCAGATATTATATAACTGTGATTACATAAGAAACAGACAATAAGCTGGGGTTTTTTTGCTTTCTGTACATTCCTTTTATATCTAGTATTCTATGTACTTCTCTATGTAATTTCTTTCTGGTCAATTCTTTATTTTTTTTCTTCCTTCAGTGTATCACAATGGTAATATTTCTTATACATTAATATTCTTTATGTAAAATGATCAGTTTATTTTTCTCTACAAACTATATTTTAGTAATGTCAAAGATATTTGAAGAAAGTATTAGTAAATCGAATAATAAACAATGTAGTTTGTTGAATAGAAATTGACATTGACATTGTATTTTCATTGTGTTGTTTACAAGTTTATTGTCATTTTGTATTGCTACTAACTAAATAGAAAATTTAAGAGAAAAATAAAATGAAATTGTGTAATAAAATACATACGTTATGTAGTTTTATGGATTTTGAAAATAAATTCTTTTCTTTCTTTTTTTCTCATAGAGACATTGAATGCTTTAATCTCAATCAGTATTCATAATATTTAATTGAGTATCCAGATAAGAAATTGTTTTATTTAAAGGTTTAAGTAGATTGTTAATTGATTTTTCGCGATAATCTATCCTGTTGATAATATGAACTCATTTTTAATGTTTGTATAGATATGCATCTAATACAATTATTAGATCTTGAACAAAACAATGTAATTTGATATGTCAGTAATAATAGAAGTGAATACAGTGGTCTTGATTACTGTTAGATGTATAAGGGCGTTTATCACTTCCCGGTTGCACACACCGTGGAAAGGTTCTTCTGGAGGTGCCTGAAAGGAAATTGGATTAGAGGTGGTCTTAGTGACTTGAGAGCGTGACCGCAGTGCCCAACGGACGACTGCTTGAGGTCGGTCACACACGACCTTTTTATGGGTAATTTTTGTGTTAGCTCCGTACTTGTTGAGACCTTACCGCCGGAGACGGATATCCGTGGGATAGGGCGAGGTGTGTATTTTTAGAGTCGACCTTTTCTAACCCCACCCCTCCTTGTGGGAAGGCAGCATCGCTGTCATGCTGGTTGTCTGAAGGAAACACCTAACTGTTGTCACACCTCTGTACAGTCAGCAGTACGGCTTCGCCTTCGGACCTTGGGTTTGTTGCTTCTAGTCTTACAGTTCTTTAACCGACCTTCTTGGTATGGTAGGACCTTGAGGAACGGTTGTTCCAGCCAGTATAGCTCGGTTGCTTCATCACGATAGGCAAGCCCGACCACCATGTCAAGGTAGCAACAACGGTCGAGAGTAATAATAGATAATACTTATGAAATTGTAAACTATGAAAGTTTTTCAAAGAATGGTTTTATTGCCTTGAAAAAAAAAGATAATCATATGAAAAGCACTATTGATAATATACTATTTCCGTAGCCTTCAAATGAAGACAACAAATTATCTCATTAAAAAAGAATCTGAAGTAAATAGTAGGGAAAAAGGGTCAAAACTAACCATAGTCTATTATATACGACAAGTAATTATTTACTGATTATTATTTGAAATATGAAAGGACTCCAAAATTTTTGAGATTACAAGGTCGTCAGATTATCTTTACTTTCTTTAAATCAAATTTTATACTTCTACTAACTATAAATCTTATTTTAAAATGTTAAAATTGAAGATCTAACTTGTATTATTGATAAATAATCACTGTTACATTAGTTATAAATTAAATTACAATTAGAACATTATTAATGTGCGTAAACAAGTTCATATCGACACTTACTTTCAGCCTAAGATTAGCATAAACCGGGGATGGACAAATCTCTTCATTAAATGATCTCATAAACACCATTTTTGTGCAAGACGGTCCCATATGTGAAATACCAAAGTATTTTTCATTAATACACTAACATGAATTATATATTAACCATCCAATCTTTCCTAAACGTTTTAAGGTCTTCTTGGTCATTTATTTATTTCGTGGAAATTTGTTACAAGTGAGACAATCTCATATATTTGATCAACATCTGACTGAATAATCAGAAACGTACCTTGTGAGTGATCTAAGTTTATTTCTCATTTAAAAAAATGACTTGTATGGGAGAAAGAAGGTTAGACTACAATGCAAAGGCAGTCCCAGTTTACGAGATTACTTATATTATAATTCCACTAAAACGAAATCTGGACAAGAGAAATCAACCGATATTCAACGTAACTAGTGAAATGTTTTCTAGGGTTTAAATATTTTGCAAAACGATTTCAAACATTCAGTGAGGTTGTTTTCTACAGTATGGGCTTCCTGACCCCATGTCCAACTCTTCATCTTTATCCGGTCTTGGGACTGACAGTAATCCTAGAAGTGATACAAGCGGAGCTGAAGTCAGACAGATATTTCTATTCAGGAATATTTGGGAGGAAGGACGAGTGACTAGAAGGAAGGATATGTCATCAATGTACTAAAGAAAAGAGAGCTCGGCGAGTGAGAACTAAAGAGGCATTGCACTACTATCAGTAACAGGAATAGTTTCCAACAGTATTGTTGAGACGGACGAAAGATTCAGTAGACGCACGACTCCAAGAAAAATAGGCTGTACTTCGTAAGGATCAGTTGTGTACAGACCAAATCTCAACACTACGGATCAGTGTTACACAATAAATAGAATGGAACTATGGAAACACCACTAAACACCAACTTCTTTGACTATAACTGCATTTGACAGTGTGGATAAGAGAACATTATGGAGACCTGTTCGACACTATGGGGTGAGTAGCTGTGAAGTCGGTCATCATCATACGGAATTAATCGACAACAATTCAAAGTGGTGCATGGACGATAGTTGACAGATACATTCAAATTGAAGACCAATGTCGGACCAAACTACTTAATCTCACCCTTTCCCTTTTTTCCTGTGGTTGACTGGATTATGAAGACCTCCACATCTGAGGGGAAGCACGAAATATTGTTGACATTGTAGTAGTATTCGGATACTGACAACACGATCTTCGAAGCTGAAAATATATTTACTGAGAAGACTCACTTTCTACATGTAACACTAAGAGAAGATCAAGAATGGTGTACGCGGGAACATTCATTCAGTCGGATGGCATAGTTCAGCGTCGCAGACATGGTCATTCTGTATAACTTGTCTTTATTCACATTAAATATATTATTCAATCTTCAGCTCAACTGTGTTTTTCAGAAATATTAGACGTTATGTTGCAGATTCTTACGATACGACAAGTCAGTGTGGAAAATGATGGGACTTCCACGTAAGATCACATTGATTAGGTCGTCACATCATGACAAATCTACAATTTTAGGACTAGGTCTAGTATTATAGTAGTACTAATAAAAAACCAGACAACAATTCTACATTTTGGTTGCGGCTAGACAATCGGGTCTTAAAAGATGAGCTAGCTCTTCTAGATCATGTACACCAACAAACGCCGGTGAAGACTGCCAATGTGGCAGCAGCCTCTGCAGGAGTTTCAGCATACACAAGGGAAAAAACAACATAGTGAGCACTGACCCAATCACACTTGATGGAGAAGCTGTGGAATAAGTCAAAACATTCACATATCTGGGAAGCTTAATCGATAAGCAGGAAGGATCAGATGCAAATATGACAGCAAGGGTGGCATCACTACAGTTGAAGAATATATGGAACTCGGAACTACTATCAACCAACATCAAAGTCAGAGTCTTCAGTACTAACTTAAATGCAATTCTGCTGTATGGAGCTAAGACTGGGGGATATAATTTATCCTATAGATATTCTACTGCAACCGTAAACACGATACTGACGACTCAGAGTCTATATGAAAGCAGTCATCAGAACAAGGACAACTTGGCTCCAACCTTTATCTGTTTCTAAACGTAAAAACGAACAACTCGATTAGTACAAATAATTAAGGGATTTGTAGTTATTAAGTAAAACGCATAAACATGCTGACCAATATTTTGTGTCTTATTGAGGTGAATAAAACAAGCATGAGTTGTGGTCTCACTAATATAATAGGAAATACTGTCCTTGAATTGGCAGGTCACATGTAACAGGGATAGTCTGCAGACACATTAGACGGGGTTGACGTGGTGGGCGTTTAAGCAGCGATTTGATTGTTTTGCTGTGGACATAACTAACAGAAACATGGAAAATCACTGCAACCACCATCAAGAACCCACGGGTATTTATAAATAATAATAAGATGCTCAATGTCCGTTGGTTAGATACCCATCAGCAACAACCTGGTGTGACAGAGAACAAACCAACGTCCAGCTGAAGATGAAACTAAGAAAAGACGCTTGAAGTGGATAGGAAATACACTGCGGAGGTCGCCAAACTGCATCACAAGACAGGCGCTAACTTGGAATCCTGAAGAGAAAAGGAAAAGAGGCAGACTCAAGAACACATGGCACCGGAAACTGAAGGAAGACGTCAAAAGAATGAAAAGCAACAGAAAACTACTGGAAGGGATAGCCTCGCTCATTATCAACTGGAAGACCTTAGTCAGCAACAAATGCTTCACTAAGGGTAACCGGTTTACATAAGTAAGTAAGTAGATAAGTAGGTGTGATAAGTAGAAATATTCGAATGTGCTAACTAAGGACTTCCGAGATAGTGCAATTTGAGTCAGGTAGAACTAGATGAACACAAACGAACGTATTATATTTGGAATTCGTAACGGGAATGCAACCAAGTACTAAGGAATCATTAGTTCATACAAATACCACAGTGAGTAGGTAAGTAAGTATGTGAGTAAGTCTCTCTATTCCTCACTTAGAATTTTCCTAGTTATATCTTCATAATAACATTATCTTCGGACGATTAATGAGTGGTAACTTCCATGGATTAATTAAAGGGTATTGTTATATGTATTTTTATACTATGTTTATAATTATAAGTAACTAGATCATGCATGTAATCATATTCCTTTTCATTTGACCCATTAACTACTGTTATACGACTTACTGTTTTTGATTTCTTCCAAACCTATTAGTTACACACTCCTATATTTAGAGCCCTTTTCGGATTGACCTTGTATAATAATTATTTTTCATTTGTGTTGTGGTCTGGTCTGGTCTGCGTGTATATAAACCATATATGCCCGAAATATTCGATTCCTATAGCCGAGGCTGATATTTGTGTTGTGGACCAAATTGGCTGGACTAGTTGAGAAGCCGTTATACAGAGGACCAATAATGATTCAGAAATGACTCTAGATCGCTAATGCTGGTTGCTGTCATTGGTTTAGCACAGGGACAATGTCGTATAAATCTGTCTTTCTACTAGCGATTCCGCGAGACTATAATTTATGGACGAATCAATCAGATTTAGGACAACAGGTCTTGAATTTTGGTGCGATATTCATACATCCACTTGGGTAGATAGCGTTTTCGCATTTTAGCTGATGTTATTTCGTCATGAAAACCCTAAATCTAATTCCTAACTCTAATTATCAACTGTAAATCATAATCCTTACTCTTCACACAGATTTATAAACCTCATTTAACCCTAGTAGGTAGGTGGATATTCCCAAGGTCATTTTGACGTCGCTCGAATGTTGTCCACAATTTGTGGTTTCATCGGAGATTTTTTCACGTAATGTTTGGCGGGCCATAGGACATAACACATAGTGAAATACATCTGTATGAGGGATGATATAGCCTGATACCTTCTAACAATTTCGCTTGTTAATAACAGGTTCCTTAAAGCATATACAAAACCTTGCTTCTTTCAGTGTGTCAGTTACTTTGAAC